GAACCCGGACGGTTTAAATTGGTGGTTTAGATTGAACTGGAAATCAAACCAGGGCTTCCCATGTAGCCTCAGCCATCGTGAAGTAGCACCCTTCTGCTTGTGAACTGAGACTAGGCTTGGACAAATGTATTGAAATATTTTCACCATTACTAGGAAGCCTTTTAATTCAGGGTCAGTAGTCTGTTCACCACATCTTCCAAAATCATAAGTGATTTGCATATTCATGTTGCTTTCAGGTTACCCTGAAAAGGCCAAGTGGAATTTAAAGTAAGGAAAAAGGGACTCAGTTTTCTCATAATGAAGTATAACCCAAATACTGCAAACTTTGAGACTCTTTATATTAAAAATTAATTTATTATCTGAAATTCAAACTTACCCGAGTGTTTTTTTATCTGGTAGAGAAAGTCTGTGACAGAGCCATGTAGTCAAAATATCTTAAGGGGGGGGGTACCAACAGTTAGCATAATATGTTGCTACTCTCCTATGTAGTCGACTATGGTTCGAGTCCTGGACCGGGTGGCTTAAACTCACGCCGGGCGTGTGTGTGTGTGTGTGTGTGTGCCCAAGATCCCGAGAGAGGAATGGAGGAGAAGGGATTGCGGCGTGGCCATCCCTCCTGGGGAGGGGGGTGATTTCTCGCTTTCTGTCTCTCTGTCTCTCTCTGTCTTTCTGGCGAGCGCACACGCCCTATAGCTAAAAACCTCTCTAAAAAGCAAAAAAAAAAAAAAAAAAAACTTAAAAGGGGAAGTGATTTTGAGAACTTTGAACGTATTGGGGGCTAAATATTCTAAGTATTGATTCGAATCATAATATGACTCTACTAATATGAAATCGTAGACTTACATAAATTAATGAAGCTCTAGACAGTGCAAGTTGAACTTGTATAACTTTAGTGTTTTCCCATTAGCTTATGTGAAATTTTTAATAATGTTTCATCTTCATTTCTGATTACTCTTCAGCTGATTGTTATTCCACCTTACATCCTGTGTTTCTAGGTTTCTATGTTAATGATCCATTCAGGAATTCTTAAATAGAGCATGGGATCCCACAGTGTGACTCCGTTTGTAAAACAAAGTCTTTTTTTTCTTTGGCATTTGAAAACACTTGTATTTAGATTAATTACCGCAATATATCCATTTTGTAAGTTCATATTTCTATACAGGCATGGTTTTTTGTTACTGGGCACACTTTCTGTTTGTTTGTTTTGGAGAGATTTTTGCTATAGTGCACATGCTCTCACCAGAAAGACAGAGAGAGACAGAGAGAAGGTGAGAATTCACCCCCCAGGGGGGATGGCCACACCACAATCCCCCATCTTCTTATTCTCCTCTTGGGATCTTGGGCACACACGCACACGTGCCCAGCGTGAGTTTAAGACACAGGGTCAAGGACTCAAACTCACTAGGAGTCCAGCAACGTAGCCATTACACCAACTGCTGGTCCCTTTTTAATATCTTATTGAAAGAAATCATAAATAGTATAAGCATATCACTTTTAAAAATATTTTTTTCTTTAAACTAGAGTGATTAAAAGTTTTTTGTTTTGTGTCTTTTGGTTTTGTTTTTGTTTTTTTTGTTTAGTTGTCTTTGTTTTTGTTTTTGTTTTTTTCTGGAAGAAAACTTTCTAAAAGAAGTCCAGTTAAAAAGTAATTCAAAAGAAGTGACGATTAAGAAAGCTCCCCTGCTGGCAGTGACTGCACAGTGATAGCTAACGCTAACACTCTGTGATGCCCTACCCACCTGAGAAGGCTCCAGGGCTCCCATCCAGAGGTCTTCTTATACGCTGTGCATGTGAGCGCCCATGATCCTGGCTGGCTGGTGCTTGGGTGGGTTGTAGTGTGAAGACCCCATTGGGGGTTCTCGCTCTCTCTGAAAAATTAAAACAAACATACATAAATAACTAAAACAGAAAATACTCCTCCTTTCTCTCAGGACCCTTGATAAAGCGTTACTCCTAGGGAGCGTGAGCCATTTCTGAAGCCGCCCAGGGAAGGTCAGGCTGGAAATAGATGTGGGCTGTTTATTTTGAGCTTTTCATTTCATAACAGTGTGAAGTCCCTGTGTCCCCTCGAGAAATTAAGAACTCTTTTTTCTCCTTTTAAAGTGGCCTGATTCATTCAACAAATAGTCACCTAGACCTACAGGGACCAGACCCTGTTCTAAGCACTTGTGATCCACTAGCAAATGTGCCAAAGTTCCTGCCTCTTGGAGCTGACGTTCTATCAGAGAAGACAGACAATAAGTAATAAATAAGATACAAGATAGCATGTTAGAATGTAGTAGGAGTTATGGTGGGGGGAGACAGGCAGGGGTATCTGGATCAGGATTGTGGAAGAATTGCATTTTAAACAAGGTGGTGTGGGGGCATGTTTTTTGGTGGTTTTGTGTTTGTTGTTGTTGTTGACTAGAGGGTATTTGCATGCACATTAAAGAAACAGAGAAAGAAGGAGAAAACACCCCCTAATGGGGCCTGGTCACACTGCAGTCCTTTTTTCCTCCATTTCTCCACCTTGTCGGGATCCTGGGCACACATGTCAGGCAAGTTTTCTAGTGGCCAGGGGTGGATACGAACCACAATTGACCATGTGAGATCTGGCTCCCTCTGCACAGTGCTTAACCACTGTGCCCCTGGGCCAACCCAGGGACTTGTTGACTGCGACATTTGAGCAAAGACTTGAAGGAGATGTGGGAGTGGCCACGAGGTGCTCTGGAAAACAGCAGTCCAGGCAGAAGAAGAACAGCCCCCACAGACGTGCCAAGGCCCTGGTGGTTTTTGAACTACAGTTTTCAATTCCTTTGATTTTTCCCCCAGGGGACATTTGGCCATGTGTGGAGACAGTTAAGCTTGCCATGACTAGGATGTGGGCTATGCTATTGGCATCTCCTGGGCAGAGCCCAAGGAAGGACTAAATATCCTGCAAAGAACAGGACCACCTCCCACGACAAAGAAGGACCATATTGCTGAGGGATTCTCAACCTTAGTGAGGAAGCAGAGCAACTGGAAGGGAGGCAGTAAGAGGAAAAGTAGGTGGTGAGGTCAGGGGTGGCAAAGGCTGGGGCAGACAGTGGCCAGTTCAGGTAGGGCCTTTTGGCCAGTGTGGACATTGGCTTTTACTCTAAGAGAAATGAGAAGCCATGGGAGAGTTTGGAGCAGAGGGGGGATATGATCTGAGTTGACACTTTAAGAGTGTCCCTGTGGTCATAGGAAGAAAATAGACTAAAAGGGGCTGAGGGTGGAATGAGGGAGGACGGTTCAGGGGCTGTTGGAATGACTCAGGTGAGAAATGATAGGGTGGAACCATTCAGTGCTGGATACCATATATCAAGCAGTGATATCTTCTAAGGATTCCAATCTCCAATCTTTTTATTAATATATATCATATATAAAATATTTTAGATATCTATATGCACACACACACACACAGTTAAGACACCTTAGCTAGATTTAGTTTTGCACAGGAGGATATATATTTTAATAATTAAATAGGTTAGACTTACCACAAGACTATTCGATATAGGTTAGACAATGTAATCTTTCTATATTTTACACAATCTTGACCAAAAAAAATTTCTTGCTAACACCTCTTTTGAGTTTTATTTTTCTAGGCTATGTAAAACCCTAAATGTATTAAATTACCTAAAAGTGGAGTGAAGAGGGTATAAAAGACTACTAACTAATAAATAGGAGTTTAAATTGCTTTCCTCTCTAACAAATGGATTAAATTATTTGAATCGTTATGGAGTAACTATTGATCAGCCATTTGCTCGGCCAAAGAAAATGCTAAACTATGGCAGAAAACACTAAGGGACTGCTATTTCATAATTTTACCCAAAGGTCTTAGAAGTGTTAGAACCCCTTCATCGTTCCTCCCTGTGACCTCCCTGAAACACACATCTCTGTTCCTATTTGTGGTCTCAAGACAGCCCGGAGCAGAGCCTGGGGTCAGGGCTGTATCTAGTCACAAAGAGCATCTCATTTCATTTATTGCTATGAAACATTTCAATGCTGTTGTGTGGTACTCCCATACTTTCTTGTTAAAGTCATGGTGTTCTAAAGAAGTGGTGAATTAGTCTCTTTGTTAGTGAAATATAAGCTGTTTTTCCATTCCTTAACGTTTTTTTAAGGAAGTTTTAAAATATCATTGAGTTTCTGAGCTCCTCATTTGTTCTATGGAAATAGCTCTTGTCTCAGCCATGCAGAGTCAGGATAAATTTCATGGAAAAACATTTCATATTTAGGTGAAAGTGAAAATGTTAGAAGACTTCACTTTTTAACCCTCTAAGACAGTGTTTCTCAAAGTCTCATCCATGGATCACAGAATTCTTCAGAGGCTTATGAGAAAAGCAGATGCCTTGATCCTTCTCCAGATTAAGTGACTCGGGGTATTTGAGGATAGGGCCAGGAACTTGCATTTTGGAGAGCATCCAGAGTATTTTCCTTCATACTCAGGTGTGAGCATTATTCTAGTTTATATGACTAGGCAAGAAAAATGGCCTTAGACGACCAGCCTGCTGACAGCAACCTCACTATCATCTTGTTAAAAACATGGAAGATCTTATTTAAGTGAAAAATATACCTCTTGGGACCAGCAGTTGGTGTAATGGCTGTGTTGCTGGACTCCCGTGTAGTCGACCGTGGTTCGAGTCCTGGACCCAGTGGCTTAAATTCACGCTGGGCGAGTGTGCATGCGTGCCCAAGATCCTGAGAGGAGAATGGAGGAGTATATATATATATATATATACCTCTAAGGATTAGTTTTCCACAGAAAGTATGTCACCACCATGTAGTCACCTCTTTCAACTAAATCTTTCTTCAATGATGTTGGAGGATGCATTCTAAACCCTGGTCTTGGGGGATTACAGTGGTCACTTAGCTTAACTGACCTATAGTTTTGCAGTGGGTCCAATTTTGGCTGACTTTAAGGGACACTTTGATCTAGAAGACCGCTTGAAATGATCATTGTCGTCTCATGTGACATGTTCTGTTTTCTTGTTAAACAGCAAATATGCCAGAGGATTATCCTGATCAGTTTGATGATGTCATGGATTTTATTCAAGCCACCATTAAAAGACTGAAAAGGTCACCAGATAAACAAATGGCAGTCCTTCCTAGAAGAGAGCGGAATCGGCAGACAGCTGCTGCCAACCCGGAGAATTCCAGAGGAAAAGGTCGAAGAGGCCAGAGAGGCAAAAATCGGGGCTGCGTCTTAACTGCCATCCATTTAAACGTCACTGACTTGGGTTTGGGCTATGAAACCAAGGAGGAACTGATTTTTAGGTACTGCAGTGGCTCTTGTGATGCAGCTGAGACAACATACGACAAAATATTAAAAAACTTATCCAAAAATAGAAGGCTGGTGAGTGACAAAGTAGGGCAGGCGTGTTGTAGACCCCTCGCCTTTGATGACGACCTGTCATTTCTAGACGATAACCTGGTTTACCACATTCTCAGAAAGCATTCCGCTAAACGGTGTGGATGTATCTGACTCCGGCTCCAGAGACTGCTGTGT